ATGGCCGGATTTGAGGTTCCACTACAGCTTGGATTTTTGCTTAAATTAAGTAACAGAAGACTGAGGAGTTGGGTTACTGAAATTGCCCTCTTATCGTTGGATAAGTAGCTTCAACTCTAGGTTAGGAACATGATACAACTATAGAAAACGAACCATGGGTGCATTTAACATTTGTTCTTGAGTGGTGTCTTCTCTCTGGTCTTATCATGGCCTTTCTCTGGATTTACTTGCTAAAGTTCTTCTCATCTCTAACACTCCATCATTAATAAATGCGAGGCATCCAGGTGATCAAGTCAATGTAGGTCCCGTTGGTGTGGAGCTTGATCAAGACTCGAGAGCTTTCCCATAACACATTTTTTGCTTCAAAAGTCCTTTGAGAGGACAATTAATTTCCACACGCAATTGGACAAGAAAAACCTTAAACAAAAGGAAAACATCACATTATTCACGTTCCTGCTTATGATTTGGGTATATACTTATATATATATATATATATTTATATCACATATTAATAATTCATACAACCTATTCTTATTTGAATTTATGAAATCTACCTATTTTTCAATAATTAAAATTTAGAATGGTATAACCATTTTCGAGTCGCAAAGTCAATTTTACTCATAAAAAACCTTAATTAACAAATAAAAAAGGCAAGGATATATATGGGGTCCCTCTCTTTCAATCTTAAACTATTGCATCGTCATAGAGATGTTATTATCAAGATCATAAGTGCTTGCCTCTAGGCTCTAGCTAGGGTTACATCATAACAGAAAAGATTGATGCAATTCCCACTTGCCCCAACTATATATAGGGTTAGGTTTTTTATAACATGATGTGGACATCGTAGTCCTGCCATTTCATTTTCATCTTCCTTTTTCCTTACCATGAACATTGAAGATTATTATTGTCCTTTTTATAATCATTGAAGAACATGATTACTGTAACCAGATTTTCATTTTATTTAATTAATCAATTGGTAATTGAGTTATAATGTATATAACATGAAGGAATATTTGCAATATATAGTGCTTTTATGTGGTGTTAAATGAAGTGATTATGCCCATATCATTTCTTATTATAAATAATTGGATATATGAATATTAGAATTAAAAATCCAAACTCGAAAACAGATATATAATTTTTATTCAATAATTATGAACACAAAAAAATATTAAATTATTGTCACAAATTTTGATAGATTATTCGATTTTAACTAAAAAAATTTCATTTTTATCGATTCTTTCCGTGTACAGTTAAATTTAAAAATTCATTAAATTTTGCTCTGGGTTTCCATTTTGTTATGTAACCATAATAATCCAAAACTTAATTATAACTTATTTCACTTAATTATTAGGGGCTCCACCTTTAACCTTCTCATTGACAAAGACATGTCCTCATTAAAAGCTTCTTCATTTTAAAAAAAAATGCTTCAAGAAATTAGTCAAGTGATTACTCTTCCGATTCATTACGAGGTCCTGAAAAGCATTTATGAATCACCTACCTCATAATTAAAGCCGATATGTTGCCCATCCTCCAAACTATACACAATTTAAATGATTGATGGGCATATGTTTGTAAGAAATAAAGTACAAATTTTGTGTGCTATCTTTTATATGGATCCTTTAAGATTGGTATTTTTATTTTATTTTATCTATCTATTTCTAATCGAGTCAATTAATTAGGACACATGAGACTGGTTTAATTAGAATCTCGACGCATAAGGTAATGCTCCCTAAAGGACAACATTAACCACTATAAATAAGCACCCCACCCCCAACCCTTATTTTTTTTTTGGTGATTGCAAAACTATGTAATAAACCTTTTTAAGGTTGTTTCATGTGTTATTAGCATATTTAAATATAGGCGAAGCCCGTATGATAAACCCTGCCGTTTCTTTAAAGCAATTAATGATTGAAGAAAATTTGTTAAACAATATGCAACTTAGAAATAAATAATACTAGTAAATTGATCAACATTTTTTAAAACAAAAATTAAATCTAATGATGGGATAATACATAAGAAATAAAAAATATTATCCCTTGTGAAAGAAGATTTGAATACTAGGATGGTATATTAGTAGAAATCTTAATTATAATCAAATATGTTTCATATATATATATATATATATATGTCACTTATTACAATTATGGAAAAAATTCAATTAAATAAAATAATATAAAAATGAAGTAAATTCACATTTAAAGAGACTTGAAGTTTCTACGTAAAAGTTCTAACGCTTTTTCTTTGAAAAAAGAAACGCGCTCATTAACTAAATATGAGTTATAATTAATGCAATCACTATAACCGCTTTAAAGGTAATTAAACTAACAAACCATTCTAATAATGATGATTTTGATTTGCATTAAAGTCAATTTAAGTCAATGATATATTGTTAGTTAGATTAAAGAAATTATAACAAATACTAGAAACCTCATTTACTCTAACATGCACACAACAATTTTGAGCTATATCTCACTAAAAATTTAAATAGATGTAAGTTTTATAATTTTACTATATAAAAAGGGGTAGATTGCTTTAAAAAATGTAATTAAAATCATAATTTATTATAATGATGATTTTTGTCCTATTATTTTATAAAAAATTAGATTTTGAACTCCGATTTTTTGAATTGTAGATATATAAACTTATCATAAATTCTTATTGAATAAAAGCTACTATTATAAAGAAAATAATTATTATTTTTTCAACAATAAAATAATTCCGACTACTCCTACAAATATAAAGATAATTAATAATAAATTTATAAATACTTATTTTTTTTGTAAGATCGACGCATAACTTATAAAAAAAATTAAAAAACTCGCTATAAAGTAAAATCACAGTAATCATACAGCTGTTTTACGTATTTATGCCAGATGACGATATGTACTGTCCTGATCATCCGTTGAATAGATATTCTTAGGCAGAGTACCAGGATAGCGCCTGTGGCCTAATGGATAAGGCGTCTGACTTCTAATCAGACGATTGTGGGTTCGAGTCCCACCAGGCGTGACCTGATACCTCTTTTCAATATTTTTTTCTTTCCTAGAAGACTCACTTCAAAAAATTAGTTGGCCTTTCCAAAACAAAACTGAAATTGTTCTCATAAGCAGTACAAAATGACTTCTGTTAATGAAATACTCATCAAGTTATAAAACAATGTGATCTCTTGATTCGTCAGAACTTTTCATACCCATTTTAATTTTCATTTTATTTTATATTTTAAGTTTGGGTAAGTAGATTGCTTTTAAAACCTTCTTAATTTTGATATCACTTATCAGGTGTTTTATGTCAAAGTTGGAAGTTACATAATTATTTGGTTAACTTATATATTTTTTTAATGGCAAAATAATGTCACCTTGAGGAAGATTGAGGCTTGATAATGTTTTATTTCTCTTTATTTGAGGAAAAGGGAATCTAAAGTCAAATACGTTATAAATATATATAAAAAATTTGGTAACTATCTTTTCATATATTGTTGAAGTGAAAAAAATAATAATGGGACAAGTATACCTTTCTTTTGTATAATTTCACGTAGTAATAAATTGATTTACAACATTTAATGTATTATATTAGGTGGAATGATAAGTCAACTCAAATTATTGAACATAATAAAACATATTAAGTATAGATTAGATATATCAACCTACACAAAACACAAATTTCATTTCATAACTAAATAATAAAAAATACAACACGAACACTGCTTTTTCATAATTCAAATCTTGTTAACTATTGGTCAAGTTATTGGGTCATAACACAAATTTTCGCTATAGTAATAGAAAAGATGTTGGCTTAAAGATGTAGACTTTATAACCAATAATAATGCACAAATATGATTGAATTTGAGACAAGAAACTCCATCAATTATCATTAATTTATTTTAATTTAAATTTATTATACAAATATTAGGACCAATCTGGTTCCCAAAAGTTTTCATGGAAAGCCATTTCTTCCCACAATTTTTTATTTTCTTCTTTTCTTTTTTTTTAGCTCCATTTGAAATTTCTCCTCCCTCTATGTACACATTACATACCACATTGTGGCTCCTTGGCAGTAAGCTCCCCTCGCACCTGGACTGAAACAAAAGCGAAAGGGCTAAAAGTGGGGTAGCTCAAAAATTAACTAAAAACTGAAAAAAAAAAAAAAGAAGGTGTGGTGCCCGGAGGGCGGGGGGGGTCCAGCCTACTGCTTCGGAGTGGTTGGGTAAGTCAAGGTATAATTAACCCTCTGGGCAACCATCATTCTCGAAGGGGGTCCCTCCCAAGATTCTTCCCAATTGTGTCCCTGCCTTTAAAATCGATTCATAGTTTTCACAAGGGTGTTTCAGTAAAAACGGAATTAAAATAATTTACCTGAAATTAATACTAAGTTGTTATTTATCAAATACGATATCAGTGATGGGTGGGTCCGGGTCAGGAATCGCGGGTATGGAACTGGGAGTTAAGTAGGACCCACTTTGAGGCCCATACGGGGGACCTTGAGTATGATAATGATGGGTCCACCAGGACGGTCCGTGATTTATTTATTATTTTCCAAATCCAAAATTGGTCCAAAAAGAAAAACTGTGAAGGGCCCCACCTAGGGGCCTGACGTAGGGATCAACTTAACCTGAGCTTATGGGTCAGTGTCCTTCACGTAATGTAAGTCCCAAGTGGATTTCCTTTCACTACTTTGGTCAAGTTGTTCAGTCGGCTAGCTCATCAAATATCAGGCACTGTATATTTTCAAAACTAATAATCTTTTATTAATTTAATTCCAACATTCAACAACTCTTAAGCTTCAAGCCTCAGGAATCAAGACAGTGTTCCAATTAAAGGATAATAAAAAAAGAGAAGACCCCAAACTCCAGAGCCATGAAAATCAGCCAAGCCAAGCCAAGCCAAGCCAAGAGCTGCAAAAACGAGTGCTGCTTTGATTAAGCTGAGAATGTACGGATGGGCAGTCCCGTCAGCTTTCAAAGCCTCGGTGTTTTTATAAGGAGGCAGCCATTGATGCTAACAGAGGCAGAGGAAAAGAAGAAAAAGAGAGTTTAGCAATCGAAATTCCACTGAGAAAAATCCATCAGCAGTTGTAGAAGAAAGCAGCCGAGGGTAAAAGAAAAGAAAAAATAAAAAAAGGATAACTGACGTGAAAAAACACATGCCATATTAGGAGACAGTGAGGGGGAGGTGGTTTTAGCCAAAAACTGCTGATTCCCATGCAGACGCGTCTTTATATTCACCCCCACCAACTCCTCAACTTAACAAAAGGCTTTCTTTTTCTCTGTCTCTCACTTTCTTTTCTCTTTTTCTCTGTCTTTTCTCTGCAATTCCATGCTAATTTTTCAGCACTGATGATGGAGAAACTGCAATAGTGGGGTTCAAATAAAAGAAAAAAAGATAAACCCAGTAAAGAAAGATAGAGTGAGAAAAAAACTGATCAACCCACAGTTCAGAATTCACTAATCTTGTTTTGTTTTCTTGTTGGGTTTTTCTTTTCTTTTATTGTAGTCCTCGTTAGGTATCATAAATTTTGTATTGTTTTTTCTTTTCTTTCTTTTTGGGGGGTTGTGTGAAAGGGTTTTGTCTACATCTATTGAATCTTTTTAGTATGATATAGAAAAAACCAATTTCTTTTTTGAATTTTGGACTGCATTGAGAGGAGATAAAAGAAAGTGGAAGGTAGAAAAAAAGAAAAGGAAGAAGCAAAAGCAAAGCCAAAAAAGAAAGCTTTATTACATTATAGGAAACAAAAATACAAAACCTTCTTTCCTTTGATTCATTGCACGTCTGGTCTCTTTGATGATGACCCGTGAGGGTCTCTATGCATGTCTGTTCTGAAGTCTCTCCAGATAGATTCTCACTGAGAAATTGAGGTAGCAATAGCCGAGAAATAAGGGAGATTAAAGTGAAATCTTTCTTCTTCTTTATTGATTTTTTTTGTCATGGGTTTGTAGTTAACTGTTCAGAAATGGAGGCCACAGAGTTGTAGCAGAGACAAGGAGAGGTGTTCCATGGGGCCTTCGGTTTTGTTTTCTGGTTTCTGGGTTTTGTAAAGATGGTGGTTTCGACTCTGTTGATATTGCCCTTGTTTTCCTCATTCGCATATATTAACCTCAAAAGAGGAGAAACAGAAAATTCCTTTTTTTTCTTACCTTTGAAGCTTAAAGTTGCCTTGAAAGGTTAATTCTTTCAATCAGCAACAGCTTCTTGGTAAAATCCCAATATTTTCAGGCGAGTCTCTCTCTCTTTTCCTTTGTTAAATTGCCCTTCTCCATGTATTGCTTTGATTTTTTTTTTTTAATTTTTCTTTGCCATGGTTTACAGGGCAAGAATAATACTGCCAAATTTTCAATTGATGCCCTAAAAGAGATCAAGAGCGAGAATCAGCAAGCAAAGTTTTAGATTTTAATAATGGCAGACTGTGGCGCTACTCCTCCAAGTCCCACAGACAACAAGCAACAAAAGAAGCCCACCTCATTTCCTAGGTTGTTCACTGGTTTTACTTTAAAAGCCTTTTCTGATAATACTGAGGCTGTTATGAGCCCAACGTCTATACTTGATAGCAAACCCTTTTCAGCTTTCAGAAACCCATTTTGGTCTGAATCAAGCATCCCCAAAACCCCAGAACCTGAAACTAGACACAAACTTGACACTAAAGGGGTTGGTCTTGCCATTGTTGATGCTCTCAAAGATGATGATTCTGATTCCAACTTGTCAAAATCTGTCCTGTTTGGTTCACAACTAAGGATCCAAATTCCATCTCTGCCCCCTGTTTTTTCTCCAGCAGAATCTCCTAGAACACCTCCTGAGTTTGGTATCAAGACAAGGAATTCTCAATTGAGTTCATTTTCATCTGGCATGTCTCCTTCTCCAGTGAGGAAAAGCATTGAGACCTTGAATTCTCCTGGGGTCTTCGCTGGGAGTCTCTCAGCTACTGAGATGGAACTCTCAGAAGATTACACTCGTGTAATATCTCATGGGCCTAATCCAAGAACCACCCATATTTTTGATAATTGCATTGTTGAGAGCTGTTGTGGGGCTGTTGGGTTCTCTTCTTTGAAGAGGGAGAATGGATTTTTGGCTGATAGATCTAGTTACCAATCGGAGAGTTTTCTCAGCTTCTGTTACACTTGCAAGAAGAATCTTGGACAGGGAAAAGACATTTACATGTACAGGTTAGACTCAAGTTCTCCATTTTTGGAATTGTTTTCTGCTCTCTTGTGACATGATTACTGTTTTGGTATTACTCTATCTTCTTTTATTTTCTCCTAATCTTTTTCTGTTTTTTCAGTTTTCAATGTGAAGGAAAATGTTTTGATCTAGTCTAGTGTATGATGAAAATTTGATCCAACTTCGATCAATTAATACCTTGAGCTTAATTTGAATGGTATTTACCTTTTAATCAACCTTGTACTTTGTAGTTTCATGAGTCTCAGGACATGTAATTTGAGCTTGGTTTGATGTGTTAGCGGAATAATTTCAACTTTCTTAAATATCAAAGTTGCTTTTTTCTTTTTTTATCAATCCAAGTGATATCAAAATCTAGAATCTGATTGCTCTATTCTCTTTCAGAGGGGAGAAAGCATTTTGCAGCAGAGAATGCAGGTACCAAGAGATGATGCTAGAGGAAGGGATAGATGAACTAGAATCTGATGATATCTTTGGGACTTGTTCTTGACGTTTGTTTTGATCTTCATCAGTCTTTTTTCTTTCCCTCCAAGAGCCAGCCAAGAAAATGTAAACCAACTCCACTACCTTGTTCACAGACCATCATAAAAGTATTGGTGGAAATAAAAAAAAAAAAAACCAAGTACTGGATTATATATATCTTTTAAGCATTTTAAGCTGCTTAGATGTTTGAAATTGAACCTTGGTTTACTCCTTACATCTCTCTCGTCGGGTGGAGGGATGGAGCAAAAGGCTCTGATATTTGTAGAATTCATTTTCTTGCAAGTGATAATTGGGTGATTACTGTTGGGTTTTTGTCCACGGTTTTTGGTTTTCAAAGTTGGTGGCAAATGGCAATGATGATCATTCTGATTTGTGACTTAAAGCATGTATTATCTTTGCTTATTTTTATCTACTAATCATCTTTTGATAAGGCACTAAGAGCCAATGACTTCAACTGAAGTAGATTCTTTTCTTTTCTTAAAGTACGCCTTTATCTTCTTCTCCTGGTCATATTCATTATTTTCTAGCTTTTCTTTAATGGATTATGCAGGTAGTTCTATATTTCTTTATATAACCCTGACGTAAGTCTAACCATTTCCAAGGAACAGATTAGTGAATAATTCAAGGGAATAATTCTTCATGACACCAAATTTTAAACAAATCAAATACGTAAGCTTGGTGGGCTGCCCAAGGGAAAAGTTGCGTCTGGGAAAGGAAGCTTGCCCCGATGATTTTAAGATCTTTAACATTATTTTAAAGTTGCTGGTTGAAACTTTTCATCAATTATGCATCATTCTCTCCTGTGACAGTAACATGAAGGAATGAGTTGAATGCCATTTTCTTCAAGCATTAGCTGAGCAACGACTTTAAGAAACCTGACATGTTCCCAACTTGTATGCTTTAAGTCCACATTATTAAATTCATGTGGTCAAGAATTGTAAGCTGAAAATTAATATACTCGAACTGAAAGGTAAACATGGAGATTAATTGAAGTAACTGCTGTGAGACTACTACAAAGAAAATTGGCACATGCAGTTATCAAGCTTAGAAAAAACCTCAGCAGTCTTAAGCTAGTCAGGCTCGGTTTTGTTTGAACCACAAACTCCAATATAAATTAATACTTGTCTCGTGATTCAGGGTATAATTTGAATCCAAATACGACTCAAAACGCTGTTGGTTGTTTGTTGCTTTTGGGGTCTATGTGTTATTGCATCTGTAACTCAAAGAGGTAAAACTTGCCACTTAAAACTCGCATTGAGAAAGAGCATCAAAAATGGGAGAGAAATGATCATCGGGTCCATTTATGGTGACCCAAGTTATCAAAATGCTGCAGGACAAAGGCAGGCAAGGGGGTCCTGGTCTGGCCAAAGCCTGCCCTGACAAAGAAGGGGTCCTGCCATGCCCACCACAACCCTTTCACTATGGCGGATCTATTGGCTGTAGCCATGTGCGAAGCATAGGGTTTAGGAATAGTAGCGGTTGGCACAGGGAGAGACCGGGCGTGAAAACAGAACAGAATTTGGGACCATTTCCAAGTTAGAATCATCCCTTCTTTTTCCTTTTTCATTTTCCCTTCTCACTGTTTTGTACCGTGCGCATGGTATTGGCACTGATGCTTCCACCCTATGATATTTTCTTTTGAAAGGGATATTTTGTTTTATTAGCATAGGAAGTATTGAAAATTTATTCTTATAGTTTTAAGGGTACGCTTTAATTCAAGTAATGAAATAGAATAATTATTCTATAAAAATTGATAAAGTTAGAATAACTATTTTATATAATTTGATTCACGAAGTGACATAAAATAAAAACAGTAATAAGGAAGGATTAAGAATATGTAAGGAATGATTATTCCATTTTACCCAACTAAACATACCGTAAATTTCTTTCGACAAGAAACAAAAAAATACTATTATGGTTTATTTAAACATAAAATCTTGTTTCCAAGAATAATTCAAATGACAATTTCACTTAAATTTCTTTTATTGGTGACCATAAATTATTACATTGTTAAACCCATGAAAGTCTAGCCCAATCACTTCAGCCATAAAAACAAGTTGGCCCAAATAGTTTGGATAGTGCTTTGGGCTGAACCATAAAGGCATCGAGCTCATGCCTGGCTGCATGTCAACCACATTTTCGTAACTCATCTTCCTCCCCACGAAAACCTTTGGCAGTAAAGGCCTGCTCCAAAGCAAGTGTACACCGAACCAAACGGTTAAATGGTATTTAAAGCCTGCCTAGGGACAGTTTTGTAATTAGGTACACAACAATTCCTCTAAACTTTGGCTTTCATTAAAAAATTAAGAAAAGCTTAAATTAATGGCTCCACATTCTCTTTCCTCAATCTCAATCTTACCCTCCCAAAACCTCATTTTGTCCTTCCTCTCCTTTTCTCACCTCCCCTCTCACCAACAAATTCGCCATCGTAAAGCGATCGTTCCCGTCGCCGTCTCTCACTGCCGCAGGCTTCGCCGGAAACATCGTCGCAAAAGAAACGATATGTCCGTCACCATCCCGCTTACCTCCAGGGAAAAGGAACCGTTTTTAGATTCCAGAAATAGTAAGTTTCTTTTTTCTTTCTTTTTTTTCATTTCTGAAGAGAAGAAAGAAATGCAAGAGAAGAATTTGAATTTAATTTTAGTGTTTTCTTTTAGGTGCTGGAAATAGAGAAATGTTAGCGATGGAGGCGGAGCAAGAGAAGACGACTTCGACGAGTTCGAGGAAGAAGAACAGGTATTTCGGCAGCGGCGGCAGATTGAAATGCTTCGGTGTCGATTTGTCGCCGGACAATGTGGCGGTTGCTATGGTGTATTTCGTTCAAGGCGTTTTAGGCCTTTCGAGGCTTGCTGTTAGTTTTTATTTGAAAGATGATTTGCATCTTGATCCTGCAGAAGTATGTTTCCTTTTTTTCTTGATTTTCTAGCTGTTTTTAGTGATAATTTGATATTTAGCACTTGTTTTAAGTTAATATCGGTATTTCGTTTAATTGGGTAACGGAATGCATCATTTTATTATTTATATGAAATAATGATGGTAGAATAAGTATTACATTTTAGTCATTTGTTCATTTTAATCAAGTATGGTTTTGTTTTTGTTCAATTTGCTTTTGCTATATACCAACGTACAAAGATGTTTGCTTCATAGCGGCTTTGAAAGGTGTAAAATGTTTTGATTGTTGCTTTTACTGTTTGCATTTTGTTTTTTTGCTTTTTGCTTGCTAAAAATTGTTAAGAAGTAGAAGCAATTAATTAAAAGTGAAAAAAAAAAACCAAAATGCTGCACATATTCTAATATAATTGTATAAAGAAACTTGTATATTTTGTTTTCCAAAAAAATTGCATTTGTAATTTTGATCTTCTTTGAAATACTATTTGTTATTGTGCCCAACTTTTGTTTGTTGGACTGAATTCTACTTGTCATTGCAAAATTTAGTTATAAAAACAGAAATGTGGAGGGTTCAAGCATTGGACTATTTGTCTCTAACACCATGGTGAAGAATAAATGTAAACTTGATAAGCAGGCAGCCTAAGAAGAGCATTTTAATGAGTTATCATTGCATTTATTGCATATTTATCTTAATATCTTTTTCAAGGACTGACAAGTTATACGTGGTTGACTAGACAGCAGTGATATCAGGATTTTCAGCACTGCCCTGGCTTGTTAAGCCACTTTATGGATTTATTAGGTGCGATTCTGTTAACTACCTCTTTGTGGACATCCTTGGGAATTTTGAAGTATTTATTTGTTTCTGGATTTGTTTAGAGCAACACTCTGTTTTTGCAGTGATTCAATCCCACTATTTGGTTATCGAAGAAGGTCATACTTGGTTCTATCAGGGCTTCTTGGTGCTCTCTCTTGGAGTTTGATGGCCATGTTTGTTGACAGCAAGTATAGTGCTGCATTTTGCATACTTCTTGGATCTCTTTCTGTTGCCTTTTCAGATGTTGTGAGTGTCTTCTGCTTTGCAGAATATTTTAAGTTATTCACTTGAAGATGACTGTTTCTTTCAAGGGCAGTTTAGACTTCTATGATTTCTTATAGCTGCACTTTTATTGTGATGCATATTGCCCATGGTAATTTTCTTATGTAATTTAAGTTGGTTACATTTGAAGTCAAAACTATCTATTCAACCAACATTTGAAAGAGAAATATTGCAGGATTTTCTGCCAATATTTAGCAACTTAATCATACATTGAAGTCAAGCTAAGTTGTGCTTAAGAATAAAATAGTAATTTAATCCTTTTAAAAGTTTTAAGGAGCTGAGAGACTGAGACTTCCTCTGTGCATGCGTTGCTCAGATGTAAAGTGTATAATTCCATGCAATCTTGTTTGAACACATTCATCAAGCCAAACAGAAGATAATTTTCACAGCTTTTCAATTAGTTGGGTGTGCTTTATTCTAACAGATGCCATTTTTAGTGCATTTTCTGTCTATGGGCAACTCTTACATGACTGCATGAGCATGTGCACTTTACACTACTCTTAGAAGTTAAGTCTTAAAAATCTCTGTTTAGGGGTTCCCTTAGTCATATTTTAGTATTATGTTAGAAACTAATGCAAAGTGTAGGTTGTAGATTCCATGGTTGTGGAGAGGGCTCGTGGGGAGTCACAAAGCATGTCAGGATCTCTTCAGTCTCTATGCTGGGGATCTTCAGCTTTTGGTGGAATTGTAAGCTCCTATTTTAGTGGCTCTTTGGTGGATGCTTATGGCGTAAGGTAGTTAAGGTGATTTTTTACGGATATAATTTGCAAGGACAAAAGACATTTCCAGCTAACCATGGTGTTACCAATTTAATGTCTCAGGTTTGTTTTTGGTGCCACTGCATTGCTACCACTGATAACATCTGCTGTTGCTGTTCTTGTAAAAGAACAGCCTGTGCTTGGCCCAGCAAGGGTGCAGAATGTTCTTTTGGGCAATCCTAGCTTTCTTGAAAGCTCAAGAGAGAGTATTATTCAGTTGTGGAATGCTGTCAGACAGCCCAATGTATTTCTTCCCACAGTTTTTATTTTCTTGTGGCAGGCAACACCGCAGTCGGAGTCTGCCATGTTTTACTTCACGTAAGTTCTGTTATTTTGTTTAAATTTCTTTGTTGTCACCTGATTTTTCTGTTAATTGGTTTCATATCTGCAACAAAAGGTTCTTTTCATTTCAGCACAAATAAACTTGGTTTTACCCCAGAATTTCTAGGACGTGTCAAGCTTGTTACTTCGGTTGCTTCATTGGTTGGAGTTGGACTGTATAATGGATTTCTAAAAAATGTTCCATTGCGCAAGATCTTTCTTGCCACGCCAATTATTGGTACAGCTCTTGGAATGACTCAGGTTTGTGATTTGATTTTCTTTTGGTTGAAGTTATTTAAAGATGGTTTGCATATTGTGTTTATAGGCATTTTTTATATCTTATTTTTTTATTTGCTTAGGTCTTTCTTGTTACTGGATTGAACCGGCAGTTTGGAATAAGTGATGAGTGGTTTGCAATCGGGGATTCCTTGATTCTAACTGTTCTTGGTCAGGTAATATACGTTTACTTCTTCCTTTTTGCTATAATCTGTAATAGAAACGAATGATCTCTGCCTATGGTGACCATTATCTCTAGTTGGACAGGTAGTAGTTTTGAGAATACTTGGTGAAATTGTGTGCTTTTTGAGTTACTGCCTGGTAGAAGATTTCTTTTAAGTCTTCCCTTTTTAAATAAAATTGATGTTATAACATGAAAGGAGTTTCTTTCGGTACTGTTTCAAATGTGGCTACAATAATTTGAAGCCCTTTTCGGAAGTCTATTAACTCCAAAGTTAGAAAGTTTCTTTTACATTTTCCTGGAGTCCCTTTTCATCAATCTACTTTAGGCTTGTAATATCTAATATAGCAAGATAGTTATGATGTGATGGTCTCGCGATATCTTTTCATAGCATTCACAGTTGCTCAACTATTTCTATTTATTTTATTTCAAGTCCTGCTGCTGATTTTGTCTGCTCTTTACAATGCTGCAGGCTTCTTTCATGCCTGTTCTTGTACTTGCAGCAAAACTATGTCCAGAAGGAATGGAAGCAACACTTTTTGCAACTCTGATGTCCATATCAAATGGAGGCAATGTCGTAGGTGGTCTGATAGGTGCTGGTCTGACCCAGGTATTCGGTGTGACCAAGGATAAATTTGATAACTTAGCCACCTTGATAATCCTCTGCAATCTCAGTTCATTGTTGCCTTTGCCTCTACTTGGCCTCCTTCCTGGGAATGAATCTGACACTGTTTCTAAGGAGAATGTAGATATTGAGATGAAATCTAATTGAATTCTGGCTATTTGCGCCGCTGTGTGCAAGATGTGTCTATCCTCTTCCATAAATTTTCCTCCTTTCCAAAATGTTTGAGCTTTTTGTTTGACTATAGATTACAGTTTAGAACACAGGGATGTAGAACGAGGGGGAGGGGAGAGCTCTGTACATATAACGGGACAGATTCAAAGCCCATGCTTTGCTTGATTGAAATGACTTATGACTTAAGAATTTGATTGTTCTCTGATGATACTGCTTTTGATTACGTTGAAACAACCAATCCAAGTAATTTTGATAATAATAAAATGTAAAAACGATAAATTGTAGCATTACGACTTTTTCTCGTGATGGAGTTAATCGTTTTAATCATTTGGTTAGCAAGCCTTATGAGTTCTTATTGAATCGTTTGAAAGGGCATATTTTTAATGCATAACAAAAGAAATTCCTTTCAATTTTATCCAACAAGAAGATATTAGAAGAAGGAAAACTGTAGTACATATTAAAGTGTAGCCAGTAGCTTGCCTAAGGCTGACTCAAGGCTCATCTCATGCTAGAGATGGGGATAAAAGCAGAGCCAACAGCCTCACGGCGCAACAAATTGACGATAACAGTGCAATAGAAAATGTTCCAAATGCGGCAGGCCGATTTTTGTGCAGTGCACATGGGCGGTCCTACAAAATTTTCCTTTCCCTTGTCATGTTCCCCGTGTCTGTCTAAACTTAAGCCATGACCATTTTCCATTTTAACAAAAGGAAAAATCTAGGTCAATAGGTTGTTCTAATTTTTAATTACATTGGATAACACCGTGATAAATTATGGTAACTCGAATCTCTGTCCATGCGGTTGATCTACCCAATTGAGGCAATCTAGTGTTCATCTTTCGCAGCAGTTTTTGCCAAACACCAAGAACAAAAACCAGCAGTATGGATCTAACTTGATAAAAAGTTTTGAGGTTGTTCTCATGGAAATGATCAAACATTGCATACCCCGACTCCCCAGCCATAGCCATTGTTCCTTACTCTTTCCTTTCCATTCGTTTTGGTCGGAATGATACACCCTTGTGTTATAGAACTTGGTTGTGATATGTTGGTGTTATCTGATCAAGTGAAAAGTAATTTCCCAGGATGAAAGCTAATACAGCAGCTCTTGAGCCACTACCAAGTTACAGCATTTGAAAATTATGCTTAGTTTGAGCTTAAGACTGGCTCCTTTGGCTCGTTTATATTTCTGTGAATAAACCTCAGGGGCAGTTAATTTTGTGAACGAAACTTAGTTCATGAATCATGCTTGTTTACGAGCTCGCAAGCAAAACCCATTTTATGTTATCATTGGATTCATTTAGATGTACATAAAGGTTTGAATCTCTCTGATTCATAGGTTAATTAGTTTAACTGCATCTGTGCTGTTGGAATTCCATGTGCATGATGCAAGTGTATCTCTCAAATTATCTTACAGCAAAATGAGAATATTGGATCAAGATATATATATATATATATATATTTTTTTTTTGAAAGTCATTCAGAGAGATTTCATTAAAACCAGGGGAATGAACATTTCCCCATATCTGATACAGGGCCATGGTAACAGAAGAAATCCACAGATAATGGAAGTTATGCCCACTACCAGCCGGAATACCCCTCGATATTCACAGATATTGGATCATGATACCATCCATCAACTTGGACAAATTGTACAAGGATAATATAAGGTAATGAGTTATTCTCCTCCAAAATCAATCTATCAGAACCTTATTGATTTAAGAAATAGGGATTCTCATATTTATAAAATTCTCTGATTTGGTGTATGAAATCTAAGCACTGAGAGGCTCACAGAAACTCCTTGATTGGCAAGCTAGGCCAAAATATCAAATCATTATATACATATATATATATATATATATATATATATATATATAAAGACTTCTACAGTCTGCATTGTCCAAAATTAGAAATAACTGATGAGGCAAATCTGCTTTCCTGCATTAAATCTACTCTTCTGCTGAACTTGCAAATTAGCAACATTTAACTTGCATGTTTTCAGTTCATCATTTTACATAAAGAAATAAGAGTTGGACATGGGAATTGCCAGATTAGATTCTTCAATTGCTCAACAATTGAAAAACAAGAACAGGATTCTTCATAGCTCAGACAGCAAAGACAACATCCCCAAAAGTTGTGTTTTTTTTTCTTTCTGAGATGGAAGAGAGAGTCGGAAGTTGAAATTGAAATAGTTGTTGAGGTCAGAAATGATTGAAGCTGATTTAATAACAAAAGGTCAAAATAACTAATTATAATATTGAAACAAAAGGAAATATCCCACTTCATCACATACAACAAAAGCAACAGTTTCATAACCAATAGTGATCACAGTTTCAGAAAAATAAAATACAGAAAATTGTGGGTCCCAATTTTTATATATGTATTTTATTTTTCTCCTCAAAGGAATCCACAGTTTTGTGGGTGGAGAAGCACAATTGTTTTGGATCAGTCTGCTGTTTATTATAATGCTCCATGTACCCCCCCAAAAAAAAAATGCTCCTAGTGATGTTTAGTAAATTCTTTCTTATCTGAGATGCTTCTAGCTTGTATATATGTTGATGGTGTTTCTGTTTATCTCTGCTTGTTTTGGATGATTGGATTTACTCACTTATCCAAAATAGAGAAAAGGAAATCATATTTGCTTTACCAAAATCCCTGGGACTACACATATGTATGACTTCCCTTGGCCATTGCTATGTTATTATTTGAAAGGGGAATGTTCTTGAGATGATGAAGCTAGCATTTGATTAAAACGGTTCCCAGTTATCATTAGATAATTGATAAGTGATTCTCATTATGCTTGTGGATATATTCATTATATATGATTGTGGATATATATGATCATATCTGGCTGAGGCAACAATTATTACAGACAATGATTATGAAGCAAGGGCAAATCAGAGAGTACTAATGATCATTAATAAGAGTTTTAAGCACATCAGCTTATTGACAGAATTTGAATTCCCTGGCAGAAAATGATTAAAGGAAGCCAATGCTAGAAGTTTAGTTGCAAATGCCAAATGATTATTGGGAAATGAGAGCTAGTTATGGAATTAATTAGTTGGGGTTGGGGAGGGAAGGAATCCTTGATCGGAAGTAAGGGCGAGAGGAATGCATGTGAATAGCCATGTGAAGGGCATTAACTTTTTTTTTAGCACACTCAACCTCCCATTAAATTTTTAACATAACAAAACAAAGAAACCCATGTGAGAATCATTGACCCTATCCCTGAGCCAATGGATGTAGGGCTAAAGCTCAGGTAGGAAATGGTCATTCAGAACAAGGCTTAAAGACAAAATATTTTTCAAGAACGAGATATGGCTCTAATAACTAAACATCATCACAAGAAACACAACAAAATGCCATAGGAATATAAAGATTCACCCGACAAAGATTAAAACCAGGTGAATTCTTGTTTTCTTACTTTTGCAACTTTGTAAATGGCTTGGCTCGCTCCAAATGTATCTGTGAGCTGTTAAGCCGGTCTTGAATTAGATTAATTGACTCGGATGCAAGCCCTTTTTGTATCTTGAAGAGTGAATGCAAATTAAGTTATAAGAAAGAAATGCATTATCATGGCTACAATTCCCATCAAGATGTTTGGATTTCGGATTCCTATATAGTACAATTAGGCCGATGAGGAAGAAGTTTCCAATGAGAACACGGAGTTGTAAGATTATCTCCAACATATAGTGAATGACCACATGCCTGGTTCATGGATGTAGTTGGCTGCTATACCCAGCCAAAAATGGGGAAAAAAATGAAAACAAAATTTCAGAAGTAATTAAGGACATCCTTTTCTATATTTAGCTAAAGCTTTATCCTCTTGTTCGTACATGGTTTTGGCTAGATATTACTCAAGGGAAACGGCTGGTTACTGCTCAAAGAAATTGATTGGGAACACCATGGTGGCCATTGGAATTGCTGGACGTCTGCCGGGCAATTACTCGCATGTTAGGGGTGCTTGACATTGACCAAACTTAACGTGGCCAATGCCCAGATATGGCCTCAAGGGGGCCGGACCGGGTGTGCTTCAGCCTGAGCAACCCCACATGCTCGGCCATTGCTTGTCTGGGGACCTGTAGAATAATATGGAGCATGCTCATCTTTCTTCATTAAGGACAATATTTGACTGCAGTTTCGGGGTTCACATGGGGTCAGGACTAGCTCGAGGTACCCGATGCCTAAAGCTAACAAACAGGGTCCTCAGTCTCATCTTAAGAAAACTGGTCCAGGAAAAACCACTTTGCCTTCCATATATATATATATATATATGTGTGTGTATAACAAAACATTTATGATGTTTAGTTAATCAGCCTGTTTATGTTCGAAGAGCTTGGCAATTTGTCTTGACGTGGTTAATTTGTTGCTTGAAAAAGTACTCTAATTTGAACCACCACAAAAGTTCTGCTACCAATCTTTTTGTTAGGATTGAACCTAATCAGAAAACTATCAATCTAGCAAGGTAGGTTGTTATTACTAGTAATTAACATGTTCAACTAAAAGCCGAAAAACATGCTTGCTTGTCCCTCCTTTGAACAAAACGATTAAGCAATGGCAAGATTCGCTGAAGCAGGCCAAAGATGCCCTGGCCTAGGCCCCTCATCCAAGCTCAAGTACGAAGGCAATTGCTTGGGGAAAACTGGGGTGGGGGAGGGTGGGAGATCTATGGCTAAAATATGATTTGTGAAAGTTAACCCTACAACTGATAGACATGCAAAAGAGGATTATAGAAAGATTTCATGTTGCCAATAATGTCAAATCAAATGGATCATTAGTAACCACCACATGTGTGGGATTCTTCGGACCTTGCTTATCAGCTCAATTCAAGTCTTGGTAATTGCTTAAAAACTGGCTAAACAACAGCATCATTGCTAATTGAATTCAGGATAAAAAAATAAAATTCTCCCATCCTTGACAGCATAAAAAAGTGCTTCACCTTTTGGGAATGTTCTGTCAAGTTAGTTCAGCTAAGAGAAAGAGGTCAAAGAGCGTTCATGACCCCTTTATGATTGGCGTAATAAACGTCCGTTTCCTCAACAAATCTTGGCTTATAGCGATATAATCAATCCTTGTGATCAAAATCACGTGAGATTGAATTCTGAGGGAAGCGCATGCTCGACCTTTCCCACATTATGTTTGCAATGATAAACCATTTGATGCCCCATTGTAGTGGATTGAATCAATCTTTCAATATCTGGGCCATCAC